TAAAGAGAAAAATAACTCAAAAATACTAGAAAAACATAGTTGAAATCAAATTTCACACATTTTTTTTCTCATTTTTTAGAGAAAATTTTTTAAAATGAAATTCATAAAAAAATTTACCTATAATTCTCTCTTACTAAATACACTCAAATTTTCAATGTTCTCACACTTGTGTACACTTTCTTCCTCTTCTCTACTACTTTCTCATTACCAAACATATCATTAAAAAAATTATCTAAGCATATTTATAGCATTAACCGCTTCTTTTTCCAATATGGTCGTGTCGATTCAGAATACTTTTTTAGAACCAAGAGAAAACGAAAAAAAATATATTAATGGTTTCCTAAGTTCCTCTGCTTTTAGTTTGATTTCAAAACTTTGACGATATTTGCATTCAAATCTCGAAGGAAAAGAACGATGGAACACTTTCTAATTCATAATAGGTTAAAATATTATTTTGTTGTTTTCTAATTTTACTTACTTTATATTTATTTTTCATAATTTAAAATAATTATTTTTTATTTTTATATTTATTTTTTTCAATCTATTTTAGTCTTTGTAATTTAAGATAGATTATTTTAATTTTTATATTTTTAATTTTTTAATTATTTTAGTCCCTATTGCTATTTTTTTTTGCATGTTATCTCTTTTGAGATCACATGTTAAATGTCTTTAATTTTGTGAAGATAAAAAAAAAAAGTGTTTCAACAATAAATATCATAAGTGAGGATAAAAAAGAGACATAAAGAGTCAAGTGTAATACTATACATTTTTAATAACAGTTGTTTATTTTATTAAAATTTGTGTTTGGGTTGATTGTTGAATCTTTTATTGTTTCCAACAAAAATTGTTTGTAACCTAAAACTTTAAATTTAAGAAGCATTCATGACCTTAATCGTAATATGTGGCCAACACGCCAAAATAGGAAGAAAAGAAGATACTTGTAAAGTAAGTAAATTAATGCAACTCTTGTCAAAATTTAGTTTCATGCAAACAGACAAAAGAGAAGATTCAAGAAACAAATACATGCAACTCTTCTTTAAAGACTATAAATTAACGCAACTCTTCTTCACGTAAAAAAAAAAAAGCGAAAACAAAGGGAATAATTTAAATTTTAAATTATATAAAGACAACTAAAGAGAAAAATTATATTATTTCTTAAATTTAATTTATTCATGTTGAATTGAGCGCTTACCACTAAGTCAAAAACTATAGCTTATAGTCAGGGCGCAACTCTTTCTACTTAAGAGCGTAACAGTCTAAGTACCATGATTCGACAGTGACTTAACCTACCTAGCCTCTGCCACGGGATAATTGATGCAACCCATTGAGCGCTTACCACTAAGCCAAAAACTATAGCTTATAGTCAGGGCGCAACTCTTTCTACTTAAATATCAATTGTTGGATCGAGCGCTTACCACTAGGCCAAAAGCTATAGCTTATAGTCAGGGCGCAACTCTTTCTACTTAAGAGCGTAGCAGTCAAACCGCCATGATTCGACAGTGACTTGGCCCACCTAGCCTCTGCCACGGGACAATTGATGCAACCCATAACAATTCATTTTTTTTACCAAGCATAACCTATATGTGTGTATTTATTTTAAAATTAGCACACATTTCTATGTACATTCAACTCAACTTAACTCATGAATTTGAAATTTTAAATTTAACCCACATTTAAATATTCTAAACTTTAAAACATACATACACCACGTAAAAACTATATTGCCAAGGATCTATATATGATATAGATTTTATTCTAATTACTTAGTGCATGTCTATATACAAATTTAAAATCACCTTTAACAAAAAAAAAAAATACATATTTCAATATAAAAAAAATAAAAATTTGTAATATAATTGTTTTTTTAAGCTTAACTAGTTCTTAAACACACTCTTAGAAGTTGGAAAATGAGAAAGAACTCATAATCTCTATCAATTATTTTACTTTTTTTTTAATTTATAATTTATTTTAGTTGATTCAAAAGTTTCAATATTAAGAATTCTATAGGTTTATGCTTTTCTCAATACAGATGTCGTTGGAAAAAAAAAATTCAATACAGCAACAAATGCAAAGTATTGAATTTGATGTCACAATTGAACAAGTAAATCTATAGTAAATATGGGAAATTTTAGGGGATTCACACTTATCCCTAGGAGAATAATATAAATAGTTCATAAAAGTTTTACACTATGTATTCTTTTCTCTAACTTTCATGCTCTTATATACTTTTCTTGGGAACATTACTTTGAACAACAAAGACTTTGATTCTATTTAATATTCCTCTTTTAGTTTAATATTGAATATAAACCATTTGATTTATGATTAAAACCAATTTTATAAATAGTAATTTATTTTTTAAATTTTCCATCATGAAGATAAATTGTAATATATGTTTTAGAATTTAATATTTATGCATTATCGATATAAAATAATTTATATTATTAACTAATACGGAGTAAATATGTCTTTAAAAATAATTATTACTTTCTCTGTTTCAAAATAATCATCAAAAAGAAGATTTTTTTTCTTCTAATTTTACCTTTCCAAGATAGTATTAATTGTTTTTTCTATCATATATTTAATAATAAAGTTTTATTTAATTTATTTATTATTTTTTATAAACTAAAATAAAGTTACTTCTGTAAAATTATATTTTGTCTAGTCTAATTATTATTTTTCTTGATTTGTGTAAATTGTATAAAATTAATAATTATTTTGGAATGAAGGAAATATAAAAGTTAATAAATTACTGTATTAACAATATTTAATTGGACGATTTTTTTTATTAATGTTGATTTTCATTCAAATTCAAAATAACCGCTTTTCTTCCTTTTTAAGGGCTGTTTAAAATTATCATAAACAAATCAATAAAAGTAATAATTCTTTCAGCTTCCTCTACTCGTTACGAGGGAGGCACCTCAAAGAGTGAGATAGCTGATCTCAAGATTTAACGCGGCTGCATACACAAGGCAGGATTCAAACTCCTGACCTTGCTTAAGGGTGATCAACCCCTACTACTGAACTACACGCTTTGAGTTATTATACTCTTTCATTTTTGCTTTGAAATAAATATATATTCATTATCAATGTATAAATTAATAAAATGTTAAATGAAATATAGTGGTATAATTTAAAAAAAATAATAATTGATATTGTCTAAGACTTTAAAAATGACATATAAATAAAAATAAAATCTTCTTAAAAATTTATAATTTAAAAGGAAGATAGATTTTATATTTTGATGTAAAATATATGATTTACGTTAAATTTTTTTACTATACATAGTAAATGGCATGATAAAATTCATTGTAACGATAGAGAGAAAATATACAAAATTAGACTAATAATTTATTTTCTTTTTAGTTCTACAACATACAATGCAACAATTAGGAGATGCTTGTATACATGCTCAATGAAGTTAGTTGTTTAAAATAATTCTTTTATAGGAGTAAGTTTACAATGAAAGTTGTTTAATTTTTTTAAAAGTTTTTTTTATCATGCAACTCTCCATTGTTGAGATGTTTATAAATTTATAGATATAATAATTAAGTTAAAATTAAAAAAAAATATAAAATTATAAGTTTTCTTCGAAACTTAAAATTTTTTTATTGGAGCAAAATTTAGTATAAACTACTTAATAATGACACATGATAGCACCTATCACACCTTTAAATATACCGAACCACTAAAGGGAATCATTTCTATTGGAGATGTTATTATATTTAAAAAAAAAAAAAAGCCCTTATCCGATAGTAAAAAACGAAGGGTTTTTTCTTTTTCTTTTTATTTTTATTATTATGGTACTTAGAAACGAAGTTTGGAACATGGCAGGAATTTTTTCTATAGGAAAAGCTACCTTTTTTTTCTCTCTCAAATGATTACCTTGTTAATGGACTTTTATGACTTTTTTTTCTCTCAAATGATTTTAAAAGGAAGTTGCTCAAGGTACTTTATTTAATAATTTATTGTATATGTTAAATTTTATTGATTTAATTGTTAAATTTTATTGATTTAATACATAAATTAAGTTTAAATTTTTTTAAGAAATTTAAAATATTTTAATGATTATTTATTAATTTGAATCAACAAAATAAAATATTAATTTTTAAAACTTTTAAATTTTTAATAGTTAGATAGTTAAATTTTAAATACATAATGAGTTATTGAGTAAAATAACTTAAGAGAATATTACTTTTAGAGTCATTTGATCTCTTTTCTCATATATATATATATATATATAATCTTTATACTTATCTTTTTTTATAATCTTTTTAAATTTTTATCGTTAATTTCTTATAAGATTATTTCTTTTATATTGATATTGTAAAATTTTTTAACTTTCTAAAGGTAAAAAAGAGTATCTAAAAAATGAACGTCAAAGATAAAAATGAGGATAAAAAAGAGGCATGAAATATCAATGAACTTAATTTAGAATAACTCAATAAAATAAATTCTTATGAGACACATAATATTGAATTATATATTTATTACATAAACATAAAATAGATAATGTTAAAAAAATAATAATAATAATAACTAAAAAAATAAAAAATCACACGCATAAGGAGTAAAAAAAAATTTATCTTAAAATATAAAAACTAAAAAAAAAATTAAAAAATAAATATAAAAACTAAAAATAATTTTTTTAAATTATAAAGATTAAAAAATAAAATGAGTAAAACGATCCAAAAATGTATTTTACTCAAATAAATATTATCACACATGAGAATAAAAGTTTGAATTTGTTATATAAAAGTGAATTTTCATTTTTAAGTCTGAATTTTGTTTTAAAAAATGTAAATTAAAAAAAAAAAGAATATTGCACTTTTGGCGTCCAGTCCTTTGCAGAGTTTGCTGAATGAAATCCAATCCATTGGGCAGTACTGCATTAGTAATCCAGCTCATCTAAACGACACCGTTCCATTGCCGAATCAATCAGAAACTGGATCCAAAATTTAATTTAAAAAAAATGGTTTCCTTCGTTATATAAGAATTTTGTTTTTGTAACTCACTCAGTGAGCAGCAGTGACCATCGCAGTGCTATTGACTTAACGTTGACGATTCTTTTTCTCTCTCCCTTTGCTTCTAAATGCTCATAACTTCACTCTTCAGTATTGGGTTTGCATCACTTTCTTCATTTCCTTGCTCATTCTTTTCATGGTGGGTGTTCACAGTGATCATGCTCATCATACCCACAAAAGGATTTTTCATGTCTTGTTTCTTTCATGCTTTCTCATGACTGAACTAAGATGATCAATTGTATACTCAATTTTTTTTTTAAATTTTAAAAGAAGTTGCTTTTCTGTCAAGTTTGCATTTTTTGTTGTTGTTGTTGTTGTGTTTTAATGATCATGTGTTTTCTATTTTATTTCAGAAGAGTGGAGAACAACTTTGATTAGGTAATACCGCACGATCATAGAGGTTCTGATACTATTCGAAGGGGTGAGCACACTTGAACAGTTTTATCTTTTATGTCTAAGAATTACTTTAATTGGGGGGGGGGGGGGG